CTTCGTGTCACTAATTATTTTATAAACAGAACGGTTATAATAAAAATACCTGCTTCGCAGGTATTTTTAATATAACCGTCCTGCTTATAAAAAATAGTGACTGAGACTTGCCAAATAGTAGAGTGTCAACAACGTTGAAACATTGATGCCAAATAGTAGAGGGTGGATTTCACGAAGTATAGGGTTATATTGTAAATTAAATCTTGCTTATTATTGGATAAATGCATATAGTGAGCAAGGGTGGAATGCATGTAAGAACTTCGCATATCACATCTTCACTGAACATATGTAGAACTTTCTTTGATCTTTCATACTGCTTTTCTGTGGTCCATTCTATTGCAGCATATATAATTAAATCTAAAAATTTCTAATCAAATTACATGCATAAGTGTAATTACAAATGTTATACAAATTATAGTCAAAAGATAATTTCTTTTTAGACATAAATATTGGTAACCTGATGCAAATTTGTATACCTATTCTCTGAATCTTTAGCATTTTCACTTTTTTTTTTTGTAGGATTTTTTATTGGCTGATAAAATGATAATTACTGATCATCAAAGATAAGAACGAAAGAACTTGTTAATCATTTCTAAATACATGTGATCACTGGATTATATTTCTTCAAATTCACAAATGTCAACAAATAGAAAGATGGGAGATTACTGTGTACAATTTTCTGAAACAAACAAATTAAAATCAGTTGGCTTTATAACTAAACTTTGTCAGTACTTTTCTGGAAAATGGCTTTCAGAATCTTGAAACAGGGATATGTTGGAAGCCTCAGAAGTTCAACCACTAATCCTAGAAATTGATTGCGTTTTGTAGTATGCTCTATTGCTTTTTTTGTAAATCTTAGATGGTTTCATCACTTACTATGGTAATAGTAATTGATTTTCTCCGGTTTAACTCTTTTAGTGACATGTACGTACGTACATACTGTACGTACAAAAATTTTTTCTAACAATAGACGAATACGTATACTGTATATGTGATGAAAATAAATGATGATCAAAAAAGGACAACACATACTATGCAATTACCAAATTAGAAAATTATCCGAATAAACAACTATTGTCTCTATTTGTTATAATTGAAGCTTTGAAAGCTGCAATCGAGATACATATTTCACTTGAAAAATTTTAAGTTAGTACCATTTATTGAATTAAATGTAACTTGTGAGGATTAAACTTATAACATGTAATGCAGCCTTCTAAATGAAACCTTCTTAAATACAAACCTAAAATGCGGTACATTGAATAACTCGTGCACCCTGTAAATGCAACACTTTGGCCCAAATATAGTTTTTATTGTTCTATAACAGTCATCAATAATAACTCGAATAATTAGAATTTATCACAATTTTGCGAGTCCGCAAATAGAATCTGTATCCAAATCTGCTTTTATAGATTGTAATTTAATTTTTGTGATTCGAATAATTAAATAAGTTGATATCGGATTTGTCGACCAAATCTGTGTTTCAATATTTTTATCTATAATTGATAACATGCGATCTAGCAATTCGATCTTGAAGATTTTAATACTATTCGAGGATTTGAATAGTACCAAAATTATCGAGATTTAATTACTAGAACACAAGTTATCAATGATAGATCAAAATATACGAATTTGATTGAAACATGGATTTGGTCGACAAATCTATATCAATCACTTGATTCGTGAACTCTTGCCAGTTTTTATAGAGAGGTTGCATTTAGTGAGGCCCGATATATTATTTTGCAGAGAAGTTTGTACGACCAATTGGGCAAATGCAGCATTAATAAAGTTTGCTTTAAATTTAATACATTATGATAAAACTGAGAATATAGCTAGTGAGCATAAATGAATCGATGTATTTAGGGAATTCATATATTATCATCTTACAACATATTGGATTTAGAGGCTCGTTATTAATGCATTATAATAATGCATATAATATTTAACTGCATAACCTAGGAAGTTATAAATACTAATAGTCTCGTTCTTTTTCTTTTGCTTTTTACTCAATATTTCCTCTTTTGACTTGAAAAAAAAAACTAGCTTTAATATGTTATCAAAATTTTATTTAATCTTTTATCACTTTAGCATTTATTGCAACTATTATTAATCCTGTCCTTTCCATGCCCACTAATCATCTGGAGAAACATCAAACTAGTAGTTCTATAATTTTTAATTATACTATATATGATTTTTAAATTATTAATAATTTATGCTCGAATAAAACTCATTTAAATTAAATTATTGATTTTAGGTGGTATGTATAAAATAATTTCAGATTGGAATATCTATAAGTAAATAAAATTTCTCTAACCAAATATACTGTATGTGAATTAATTATTGGTTTAATAAGTATAAAATTATTTCAGATTGGATTATCTATAGATGAATATAGGGTTGCATCAGTCCCACAAAGGACCGGTCCCAGACCAGAACTAATAGAACTATAGATAGGACCATTAGACCGGTCCCAAACCGGCCCTCTCCGAGATATTCATATCACTCAATCAAATTTCTTGATTAGGTGTAACCACATCACATGATGTTTGTTTAAATCCGATTATTTGCAATTATGTCATTTTTGACCAATAAGATCTCATGCATTTAGAGATGACGTAACTATAGAAGGACTGTTTTGGGACACCTGGACCAGACCGTAAATCACGATTTAATCAGACCATTAGGAACCGAGACGGGCTGGACTGGACCGATGCATCTCTAAGTGAATAAAATTTCTCTAATCAAATTAATTTATTGTTTTAGAGAGTAAGCATAAAATTATTTTAGATTGGAATATCTATAAGTAAATAAAATTTTGCTAATTAAATATATGTATATGAATTAAATTATTGATTTTAGCTAGTAAGACGAGACCAATTTGATTCAGTGGTTTACGTTACCCCTCCTCTCCTGCCTTCCCTTCTCACTATATACGCAGAAAATTTCGGAAAATTTTTATAATATCATGGATCATTTCAGAGAAAAAATTTATAATAAACTCCCTCCAGCCCCCCTATTTTTTTGTGAGTAGGATGTAACATAAACCACTGAATTAAATTGGTCTCACCTAAGTATAAAATTATTCAGATTAGAATATTTATAAGTGAAAAAATTTTTTCTAATCATATATAGGCCATACAAATTTAATTACTTGGTTTTCATAACACGAAACTTTTAAACAGACCCGGCCGGCCGGCTTTTTTTTTTAAATTTCATATATAAAATTTTATAAAATTTATATAAAAAATTTTTTTAAAATCCACCTGGTTATTAAAACATATAAAAATTTTTTTTTGGAAGTTCTCAAATTTTGACCCGGCCGGGTTATGAAAACCAATTAATTAATTTTGCATGGCTATACTTAAATTAATTAAATTTTTGATTTTAGGTAGTAAGTATAAAATTATTTCAGATTGGATTATCTATAAGTGAAAAAATTTCTCTAATCAAATATACTGTATGTGAATTAAATTATTGGTTTAGTTAGTAAGTATAAAATTATTTCAGATTGGAATATGTATCTATAAATGAATAAAATTTCTCTAATCAATATACTGTATATGATTAAATTATTGTTTTAGGTGGTAAGTATAAAATTATTTCAGATTTGAATATCTATAAGTGAATAAAATTTTTCTAACCAAATATACTTTAGGCCATGCAAAATTAATTAAATGGTTTTCATAACCCGGCCGGGTCAAAATTTGAAAATTTCAAAAAAAAA